CTGAGGTTTGGCAAAAAAGTGCTTCGTTGCTGCGATAAGTTGACCAACCGGCTTCACTTCCTGTTATTGCCTTGGAATGCCGAACCCGCCAACTGAACCGACCAATGGCGGGGCAGCTCTGTGGGGGGATGGGGAGCTGATCGCGTCCTTCCTTGCAGCCGATTGGTCGATCAGATGGGCCAACAAGTTAGATCCCAAAAGACAAAAAGTTTTCCCGTTGACTCCTTCGTACGTTAGCGTCGGTCTCTCCGGTGTGACGTCGTCCAGTAAACACAGCTGACTGGCTGTCATGTGACCATCAGCTCAATCAGAGCTTCAGTCACGTTCTTAAAGGACCAGACCGTTGTTTTATTGCATGTTTCAGACCATTGACTCTCACCTTTTTACAAAAACAGACGGAAGTGTTTTAGATGGTGGGAACAGTCGTTTCAAAAACGAATTTATTAACTTAAGAGAAAGTCTCGTCTCTCTTCAATGTCAAACATTAATAGTTTGAATTAATTCCCAATAAATTTGGTTCTTTGGCACAAAGAAATGCAGCGACGCGCCAAAAGAAGCTAAACGTGATCTTTGTTTCTCTGTGAACGTGATTACGTTTTTAATAAATGAACGCTTCGTATTCATCAGCTCACGAGCGATCTATAAATCAGTTTTTGAATCAATATTGTTCTCGTTACTCAGCTCTGATCATCTCAGCCTCACTCTGAACGTTAAAGAGATGAACTGGAGATGAAATCACACGAAGCAGCGGTTTGGTCCTTTAAAGAGTTCTACGACCTTCCTGTTGGATCAAAAAAGACCAAAGAGTAGAAAACCAGCATCTACACACTCTCATCCCCGACCGTCCATGAACGCACCGCGGTGCTCCTGACTGCTCTGTGTGGAAGATGGCAGCTCAGAGGTCAGAGGTCAGATGTAAACACAGTCCACCGTCTCAGTGTTCAGTCCATTGTGTCAACGGTTCAGAGTTTTATTCTGATGGAAAAATATAAATTCAGTCCTGAAGTTCAGACGCCGGACGTCTGAGAGCAGAAGTTCATCTGTAAACTGGGATTGTGACCTTTTGAAAAAAGGTTTTACCTCCTCGGTGTGTTTCTGAGCTTTCTCCAGACAGGAAGTTCATCAGCTGTTTGACATCCGTTACCCAGAACACCTTTCTCTCTGTGTGTCCATCCTGACCATAAAAACAACTAACAGCTGTTTTTAGAAAAAGACATTTTGGAGATAAAAACACTTTCGTTGGGAAAAGTTTCTCAAAGATGATGAAACCATCAAAGTCTGCTGATTGGAGGGTTCAAAGGTCAGCAGAGGCTCTCGTCTGATTGGTCGACAGGAAGAGAGGAAACGAGGCGGAAAAGAGTCCGACGACATCACGAGGAGTCGGGTTGTTAAAGGTCGTGAAATATTCAGGAGGTTTCACAGGAAGTTCAGCAGAATATTTAATAATCTGAACTTTTAATAGTGAAACACGGTGTTATGGTTAAATAATAATAATTGTATCATTATTATCTATACTAAATGTATTATTAATAATAACAATGTTGTCATGTTATTAATATTATTATTAAGGTTAACAATGATGTTAAAGGTTTGTTTGTAGAACATTCTGCCGTGTTTAAAGTTAAAGCTTTAATTGGGAGGAATGTGTGAAATGAAAACAATATAACTTATTGATCTGTTACTGAATATATTATATGAACTGTACTTTACAAACATATATATATGTATACATCTTATTTAATATGAGACTGTAAATAAAGCCTTAACAACAGATTTTATTCCCGTTAATCTTGAATATTCACAGATCTTTACAACCCTAACGAGGACTCTTCTTCTTCTCTATTTATATTAATAGTAGATCTCGACTGCTCGTCTTTAGAGTCAGTGGTGGAAGAGCAGCATGTTCAAGGAATAGAAGAAGAAGAAGAAGAAGAAGAAGAAGAAGAAGAAGGAGAAGGAGAAGACGAAGAAGGAGAAGAAGAAGAAGCCCTCCCTCCATCTGTTTGCTCTTTTTCTTCATTGTTTCTAGGCAACAGCTGCTTGAACAAAAGCTTCCTCCTCCTCCTCCTGCTCCTCTTCCTCCTCCTCCTCCTCCTCCTCCTGTCTCTGGTTGTCCCTCTATGTGTCTTTGGGCTCCAGTTTGCAGGACATGTCAAACAGCAGGTTCTGGTTGTCGATCACCTGGAGCTGACGGACGTAGGCCTTTGTCTGCAGGTGAGAGGGGGACGTCTCTGTATCCATGGCTACCAGGTGACACAAGTACATCATCACATCATCACATCATTACATCATCACATCACCACATCATTACATCATCACATCATCAGTTAACACAGAGAGGACATGGCGTCTCCACCAGAGGGAGACAACATTCAACACAAGACCTTCACAATAAAAGCACCGTATCAGCAGGAAGTTCACAGAAATACTAACAACCTTTACTATTTATTACTCTCACCAAAGTACACAATACATGTCATAATATTATAACATGGTTTACTAAACATTCTAACTAAATATGAGATATTTATAATAAAGAAACGCTCTCCGTCCAGTCACAGAATGACGTCAAGCAGCAGGACTTCTTCTGTGGTGCTCCTCCAGCTCTGACTGTCTTAAATGTGGTATTTTGGTGAATTTTGATCAATTCTCTAGTGACAAATAAAAGTGTTAAATTTAGAAGTAAATCTGTGTAATGAATGAAATCACGTTTATGAGACGAGGAGGGCCATCGTGTGCTTCATCATGAAGTCCTTTATTTTAATTCATTCATATTTATTCGTGATTTATGACGAGAATTTGACTCCATGTTTTTATCTTTCAGATAATAAATACTACTTCTATTTGACCCCCCTGCCCTCTAATGCCGAATTCATCGCGCCGCCAGTCTCGCCGGGGACCATTTGTGTTCATTCGCGCGAATCGTGCCGGAGAGGGGGCGGGGCTTATCGCCCTGAAAGCCGTTCAACTGTCCGCCATTAACCATGAAAAAAATAAGCTGTATTTCTGCTTAGTACGTGTTGTGGAAGTCCCAGATATCCCGGGAAACTAAACGCGTCATGTCTGGTTCATAACATTGTTCAGAGGAGCTCCGTGGATTTTATCAAAGTGTGTTCACTGTGTCTATCAAGCCACAGGGCGCTGTTTACTACAGCTGTATCAACACTAAATAACCTGATCTGGCTGTGATTTAACGGCAATAAACCGACAAAAAGAGACTCTGAAATAACTTCGTAATGATGCCGATTTGTAGGCTACTTGTCTTCTCAATGGAGCTATGATGGATCGGTGCTAGGCTATGCTAACATAGTAGCAGCACCACCAACACTCAGAATCACGTCATGTAGACGTAAATACGGCAGCGTCTATTCATTGTTTGTACCATATGGTTTACACACACACATTTATACACATAGATCCCTCATATCTGTTGATATGAGGGATCGTAGAGCTCTGGGTGAACACAGAATGCTACAGGATTTATTTCCTGATTCAACAACGGCAGGAAGTCAGTGATGACAGGGGAAACATCTCAACGCTGATAGGCTATCGCGCCACAGCGTCACGCGAATATTTCGCCGAAGTTGAAAAATTTCAACTCACGCGTTTGGGGAGAATTTGCGAATTCGCGTCCATCGCAAAGTCGCGCCGCGCCAGTCTCATCGCGTCTGTGCATAGACTTTGTATGTAATCTACTCGCGCGAATAATTCGCGCCGCGTTTGGTGTGAACGCAGCATAAATGATGATGTTGTGTTAAGACATAGCAAGGAGGAGGAGCCAACTGAATGAAGTCCAGGATCAACCAATCAGAACGCAGCTTATTATAAACAGTGAAACATGAAAGAAAGAGTTTTACCGAGCTGGCTGCTCCTGTAGCGTCTGATGATCCTCACCATGTCTGCTACTTTATGCTGCAGGAGGAGGAGGAGGAGGAAACATGAGAGAGCAGGAGCAGAAAACAGGAAGTGAAACATGTTATAAATATTATGTATGTTATATATATTATATGAAGTGTATTTGGAATATTTCTCACTCATAGTTTGTTAAAAGCAGAAAACAATCGACTCACCATCTTCTCAAAGTTGACGAGTTCTCCGTGAAACGTCTTACAGCTCTCGTGAAGAAACGTCAGGTCTGATGGAGAGAAACAGGAAACGTGTCATCGGTTATTGTTGCAGTTCTATATTTCACCAGAGGAGGCGCCAGAGAGGGACGTTCTACATCAACAATTCTTTCTCTCTCCTTTTCACCATTTGATTCACTTCCATCTTCTCCTCCCTCCTCTTCCTCTGGTTACCATGGAGACAGAGAGCTTAAAGCTTCTCTCTCTCTCTCTCTCTCTCTCTCTCTCTCTCTCTCTCTCTCTCT